CTGGACACCCCACATGTGAGACCACAGTTCGAATCCTGTACCTGGTAGATTGCTTTCTCACTTTCTGTCTCTCTCTCTCTCTCTCACTCTCTGGTCAAATTAAATGAATGAATAAATAAATAAAATGAAATAAATAATTCTTTAAAAAAAAAAAGAAAGAAAATTCACACTGGGTGTATGTGCATGCATGCCTAAAATTCCAAAAGGAGAATGGAGGAGTAAAAATGGTGGCATGGCCTTCCCCCAGGGGTTATTCCTGACTTTCCCTCTCACTGTCTCTCTCCAGTGAATGCATGCACCCTATAGAAAGACAAAAAAAATCAAAACAAAACAAAAATGACAGACTCAATGGGGGTCGTGAGGCCAGAAAATTAGGATGCGAGTTCACCAAGGGGGGAACAGAAAGTCAGAATGGAACAGCCAAAGCTTGAGAGACAAACAGGGGTCAAACATAACAAGACAGGGGACCAGCAGTTAGTGTAATGGCTAAGTCGCTGGACTCCCACTTGGCTGGCTGCAGTTCAAGTCCCAGACCCGATGGCTTCAAAGTCATGCTGGGTGCACGTATGTACACACGTGTCCAATATCCTGGCGAGAGAATAGAGGAGAAAAGAGAAGAAGGGATTGTGGTGTGGCCATCCCCTCGGGGGTAATTTCTCACTTTTTTCTCTGTCTCTCTGGCAAGCGTATGTGCCCTATAGCCAAAATGATCTCTCCAAAGCAAACACACAAAACAAAAAACCAGTTTTGCAAGATTCTGTTTCCCACCACTGGGCAGAAAGGAAGAATAAGGAGAAGCAGAATGACTAAAAATGTATGAGTGAAGCTGCAGTTGGGCATCGGGGCACTGAAAAACTCCTAATTCCAGCCCCCACACCTTGTAAAAGCAGCCTAAGCCCTGCTCAAGGGGCTTTCTTTCTTCCTCCTTCTCCTCCTCCTCTTCCTCCTCCTGCTCCTCCTCCTTCTTCTTCTTCTTTTTCTTCTTTCTTCCTCTTCTTCTCCTCCTCCTCCTCCTTCTTCTTCTTCTTTTCCATACAGTGCATGCATTCACCAGAGACGGGCAGAGAGAGAAGGGAACGTGTGAAATCACTCCCCCAGGAAGGACGGCCATGCCACAATCCCTTCTCCTCCATTCCTTCTCAGGACTTGGGGCACGCATGCACACGCACCTGGTGTGATTTTCAAGCTACCAGGTCCAGGACTTCAACTGCAATCAGCCATGTGGGACTTCAGAACCTTAAGCTCCACACTGCTTGCTGTTCCACTCTTTATTATATATTATATTTATTTTATTACTTTTTTTTTAAGGAATGTTTGCCATAGGGTACATTTTGTGCTTCCCAGAGAGACAGAAAGTGAGAAACCACCGCCACCCCTGGGGAGATGGCCACGCTGCAATCCCTTCTCCCTCATTCTCCTCCTGGTATTTTAGGCACACGCGCACATGCACCTGGTGTGAGTTTCAAGCCTCCGACTTTGAGAATTGAACAACAGTTGGCCACTAGGAATCCAGTGCCTTGAACACTATGCCACCTGCTGGCCCTCCAGTGTTTCTTTTTTTGTTTGTTTTTACCTGATGACTAAACTAAGAATTTTTAAATTCACCTATAACCTTCATCTCCACTTCTGGGTAGGTCCAGGTAAGGGCCCTGATGCTGACATGCAACTCTGTGCGTCCCGCGCTCAGAACAGAATAAAACAACTGCTCCATCAAAGCCCTCTGAGAAATAGGTCTATGTTTTGATCTGGAGAGACCTTGGATTCATGAATAACTCAGGGCTGAGAGCTGCCCAGGTTTCTGCCCTCGAGCAAACTTACTGCCCCACCCCGGAGCTACAGGGTAACCTGAAACCTTGCCTAGGTTAGACTTCCTGCTTCTCTGCCACCTCCACTTTAGGGCAGGTTCTGAGCCCCTTCCGCATTCCTAGCACCCCGAGACCTCCCCTCCTCAACTCCCCCATGAAACACCATGTCCAACCCCCCATCGGGGCAGAGATTCACAGTGCTAACTCCTCCGTGCCCGCCAACGTAATAAAGAGTTCTCCTGTCTCTCCTGAGCGCCGTTTCTGTTCCCTGTCATCTGTTTTTCTGCAAGTTTCTCCAGACCCAGTCACTCCATTTCTGTTTAAAATAAACCTCATTAACGGAGCCAGCAGATGGTGTAATGGCTATGTCGCTGGACTCCCATGTGGCTGACCACAGTTCGAGTCTCAGACCCGGTGGCTTGAAACTCACTCAGACTCATATGCACATGTGCCCAAGATCCCGAGAGGAGAATGGAGGAGAAGGGATTGTGGTGTGGCCATCCTCCCTTGGGGGGGCGGGGGAGGGTGATCTTTCACTTTCTGTCTCTCTGTCTCTCTCTCTGTCTCCCTGGAGAGTGCACATGCCTTGTAGCAAAAATCTCTCTAAAAACTAAACAAAACAAAAACCACATTATGATTTCTAATAAACTTGGTTATTTCCATGGATGGTGCAAGAAAAAACAAACGAAATTTTGAGAAATCCCAGTACAAGTTTTCTGGGAATGCTATTTGCTCAGCTGGGGCTGGAAGCCCCAAGGTGTCCGGGAGGAAGCTTCTTACCAGGATGGCTCCGGGCAGGCACTGAGGGGTGGAGAAGCAGGCTTGCCTCAGGTCGCTAAGACAAGCCAGTCCAACTAGCTGGTGAGCCCAGGTGCACAAACACAGAAACCCTAAATAAGCAAACAGACTCTGGATTCACCGGGACTTCTGGACGTTAACCAGCATCTGAGACACCTCCCTGCTCTTATCTTAGCTGAGTGTCAGAGGCCGGCTTGGCAGGCACCAGCTGGAATTAAGGCAGGGGCTGTCTGGTCCTGCTGTACATCAGCTCTCTCCTCCAGCCCTGGCAGGGCTCCTCCTCATCTCACACCAGGACCTTCCCCCTTTTTCCGATTCCTCTGCACGTACCTTTTGGCTGCAAACCTGCCATTCTCAGAGCTGGTTTTGCTGCCCAGGACTAGGGAAATACAGAAAGAGTGGGTGAGAGTTAAATAAAGGGGAAAAGGAGCAGGTGGTATCGTGTTTCAGCTGCTGGACTCCCACAGGGCCGACCATAGTTCGAGTCCCAGGCCTGGCAGCGTGGGGATCATGCCAGGGGGGTGTGTGTGTGTGTGTGTGTGTGTGTGCACCCCAAGTCCCAGGAGGAAAATGGAGAAGGAATTGAGGCATGGCCATGCCAGCCAGGGGTGATTTCTAACTTTCCTTCTCTCTGTCTCTATCCAGAGAGAGAATGCACCCCATGGGAAAAACAAACAAACAAACAAAAAAACAAAGAGTTGAACACAGAAAGACTTAGGGAAGGGGAGGACAGGAACGAGATTCTGTGCTTGGTCCAACCACAGTGAGATCCTCTTCTGAACCCCACTTGTGCGTTTTTCTTTGTAACATTGAGTTTGGGGAAAGAATTTGTTGAGCACGCTTAGCAGGAATCCCTCACCCTTGACATGCGGTCACCCCATCCTTCCCAGGTATGTCTGGTCCCTTCGCGTCCAGTAAAAACCATCTTAGGTTGACCTGACCAGCGTCCTCCTCTGCCCTACAGGGACTAAGACAATCGCCTTGATCCCTGATGTTCCTGAAGAATCACCAATAGCCAGATTAACATATCGGATCACCGTTTTATGGGATGCGAGCATCCGCAGACTGAAGAGACAGCGACACTGAGGTCTCAGGCCACCTGATCTTAGCCTCTGCTTTGATGAAGCAGGGATAGTCCTGAAGAAATGACATTAAAGGGGGCTGGCCCTGTAGCCTAGTGCTTAAACGCACTGGATCCCACACGAGTGACCATGGTTCAAATCTCAACCCAGGAAGAACACACCAGGTGCATGTGTGCATGGGTTTGGATTTCCCATAGGATGGAAAAACGGAGACAGAACTGTGGCATGACCACACCCCACTGGCAGTTCTCTCTCCCTTTCTGTCTCTCTGGTGAATGTACCCCAAGGGCTATTTTTTTCAAAAATGCAGGAACCAGCAGATGGCGTAGTGGTTACGTCACTGGACTCCCACGTAGTCGACCGCAGTTCAAGTCTTGGGCCTGGCAGCTTAAACTCACACCGGGCGTGTGTGTGTCCGTGCCCAAAATTCTGGAAGGAGAATGGAGGAGAAGGGATTGCAGCGTCTCCCCTGGGGGGTGATTTCCCACTTTCTATCTCTTTGTCTCTCCAGTGAGTGCATATGCCCTATAGGGAAAAAAAAAAAAACCCTCTTAAAAAAAATGAGTAACACATGCCTTAGCATACATGCACTCAGCACAGAGAGACAGACAGACCGAGAGAGGGGAAAAAGAAAAAATCGTCTCCCAGAGGAGACAACCACGCTGCAATCCTTTCTCCTCCATTCTCTTCTTGGGATTCTGGATACACACAGACACACATACCCAGCACGATTTTTCTTTCTTTCTTTTTTTTAAAGAATTATTTTAGTTAACTTTATTTATTTATTTTTAATTTGACCAAAGAAGGGCAGAGTGAAAGAGAGAGAGAGAGAGAGAGGGAAAGTGAGAAAGCAATCTGCCAGGTCCGGGACTCGAACCACAATTGGCCACGTGGGAGTCCAGCACCCTTAACCACCACACACAGACACCCTTCTTTTTCTTTCTTTCCTTTTCTCTTTCTCTTTATCTCTTTCCATCTCTTTCTTTTCCTTCCTTTCTTCCTTTTTTCTTTATTTTTTTCTCTCTCTCTCCTGTCCTTTCTTTCTTTCCTTTCTTTTTTTCCTCTCTGTCTGTTTTCCTTTCTTCCTTCCTTCCTTTCTCTTTTTCTCTTTCTTTCTTTTTTTCTTTTAGGTTTTTGCCATGGAGAGAGAGTGCTATACACTCACTAGAGAGAGAGAGAGAGAGAGAGAGAGAGAGGAGGAGAGAGAGAAATCACCTCACAGGGGGATGGTCATGCCAACATCCCTTCCCCCCATTCTCCTCTTAGGATTTTGGGGCACACTCTTAGATGCACCTGGCATTTTTAAGCTGCCAGATCCGGGACTCGAACCATGGTCAACCATGTGGGAATCCAGCATCTTCGCCACCACGCCATCTGCTGGCCCTGTGTTCAGGTCTCATGGTCGGTTTTGGAGAAGGGCGGATTTGGCTTTCTGTGACCCGGCTTGGGAAAGAGGGCGTCCGCAGTAGTTTCTGTGTTCTGTCTTAGAGGAGGATGAGGGGTGAGACTCAGGCTGGAGAGGTCAGAAGCCTGCTGCAGCGGCCTTTGCTTGGGGCCTTGTCTTCCAGGCATGAACGCCCCGGGGTCTCCTCTTAGTAAATTCCCACCCACCAGCCCCAGAGTGCTTCCTGGCTGTTCAGTGCTGAGCCCGGCTCACTTGTTCTGCAAGAGGGAGCTGTGGGGCACCTGGTGCTGTCTCGAAGGTCCTGCATAAGGTCTTCTTCATCTACACAGTGGTCCCATCGGGGTCCTGGTTACAGGGGGCCGTCCCCGTCCTCCCGGCAGGCACAGAAGGGGAAGGTCCCACAGCACGGCTGCAGCCATGGCTTCCACATGATGTTGGCCGTGGAGAACTGGGCGGGCACAGGGCTCAGAGTCTTGCGATGCTCAGCCACGGCCTCACCCACCCGGGCGATCACCGCCTGGAACTGGGGCTCCGAGCCGGGGGACAGGGGCCGGGCCTCGGAGGGGTCCGTGGAGAGGTCGAAGAGCAGAGGGGGGCTGTGGTGGGTCACGCCCTCCCCGGAGCAGGGGCAGATGCCTTGGCCGAAGCAGGCCCCCGTGCCCTCGGGGTGGAACTTCGGTGTGGTGTAATGCACCTTCCAGAGCCTTCCACCTGGGCAGAAAGGAGAGGGTGGTCAGGGTGGCAGACACCGCTCCGCTGGGAGTCACTGTCTCAGAAAGCCCTCAGCTGATTAGACGAGGCCCACCACATCCTGGAGGCTGAGAGGCTTTACTCCCTCCAATTGTGCTGGTGTCAATGTTCATCTCATGTTGAAATCTGGGACCAGCAGGTGGTGTCATGGTTACGTCACTGACTCCCACATGGCTGACTGCAGTTCGAGTCCTGGACCGGCATCTTGAAACTCACACCAGGTGAATATGTATGTATGCCCAAGATCCCAAGAGGAGAATGGAGGAGAAGGCATTGCGGCTCTCTGGGAACCACTATTATCTGTCTGTCTGTCTAGATCTGTCATACCTACCTATGCATTACCTAAGTATGTCTATTGTCTGTCCATCCAACCATCCTGTCTATCTATATAATCTTGCATTCTTTCAAAACGTTAAACAAAATTTTTTTTGCTGTAGGGTACATGTTCTTGCCAAAGAGTGAGAGCGAGAGAACTGGAGAATCACCCCCCAGTGGGGATGGCCACACCACAGTCCCTTCTCCATTGTCCTGTTGGGATTTTGCACACATGCACACAACTGTGTGACATGGTTTTTAAGCTACAGGGTCTATGATTCAAACTGTGCGGTTGACCATGCGGGATCCAGCACCCTACCTTGCATGGCACCTGCTTCCCCATCCACTTACCCCTCCATCACTCACTCACCGATCATGTGTCCACCTCTCTCTCCAGATCTGTCTACCTCCCGCCCACCCACACCGCTCAGGGCTGTCTCTCCGAGCACCCGTCTAGCTTGCCGTGGAGGGGCGTGGACTCACTGTCCTTCTGGTGCCAGCGGGCCGCGTGCAGGTGCCGCCCACAGTAATGGAACAGGAACTCGTGGTCCGAGTGCTCAGCTGCCCCTCGGAGCAAGGGCAGCAGGCTGTGGCCGTCCATCACCCTGGGTCAGGGAGGGACAGGGCGGGGGTCAGACGGGGCCTCTCAGGAGCCATTTATAGACATGCAAGAACACCTACTGATGCATACACACATATGCACACATATGCACACATACACACCTAGACACACACACACATGGATATGTGTACACATTAACACATGTATAGACAGGGCAGGGGTCAGACGGGGCCTCTCGGGAGCCATTTATAGACATGCAAGAACACCTACTGATGCATACACACATATGCACACATACACACCTAGACACATAGACACACATGGATATGTGTACACATTAACACATGTATAGACAGGACAGGGGTCAGATGGGGCCTCTTGGGAGTCATTTATAGACACACACACACATATCATAATATATACACACGCAGATAGCTAGATACATATAGACACATACACACACACATATACACACGTGGATATGTGCACATGTTAAATACATGGATAGAGGAGGGCAGGGAATCAGACCAGGGCCTTTCAGGTAGTCGTTTATAAACATGTATATATCTCTACATACCCACACACAAGCACACATGTATACACATACATATTTAGATGCATGCACACGTGCACATGCGTGTGCACGCTCACATACATATACACACATGCACACAAAGGTACAAACACACGTGTATGCACATACACATGAATCCAACACATGTATGCACATGTTCATTTACATGGTATATGGCACATGCAAACACATACATGCATGGATTTGCAGGCATGTGCATTTACATATATGTATACACAGAAATGCATACACATGTATCCATAGAAACACGTGCATCTACACATTTACATAGACTCATATGCATTTGTATACACACACGTGCACACACATGTGTATATACAACAAACATGCCTCTCTGGACCACCCCGCTGATACATTAATGCACCCTGTAATAACATGTTCCTGAGATGAGAAGGTGGGCAGAGGGACTGTCACATGGTTGTCTCTTACACAGCACTATTGACTCGTTACTCCACATGGAGAGAACTAGAAGTGTTACTGAAATCTTTCTCTCCACACCATTCTCCTGTGGCAGGTGGATTCTCTGCAAAGGGCTGAAATCCGGGTCACCACCATTTCTAAGTGGGACTTGCTGAGCTTCCCCCAAACCCTGGCAAGGCCGTGTAACCGCGGTTCCAGCAAGGTGACCTTGACCGGACCTCGCTCTGATGGCCTGGCCTTCCCTTTGCCGTGCCGGGGACACGATTTCTCAGGGCTGGAGCAAGTTCCTGTGCCGAACATGCATTTACTTATCCATTTTAGGGAGTCTTCATTAGGTGGCCCCGAAATTGGAGGGAGTGAGTGTTTCAAAGCTCTGACGTGTCCGCACCATCGTGTGAGTGTGTGACCTAGAGCTCTCGCTGTCAGGGGCAGGTGCCTGTACCTGTACCACCGCGTACCTGTCCTGGGGCAGCTGGCCGCCCCCCAGCTGGACCACGGTGGGGAAGACGTTGGGGAAGACATCGATGAGGCTAGTGGGCTCATGCATCACGCGGCCGGCCGGCAGCACCCCGGGCCAGCGGAATATCCCCGGGACGCGGATGCCGCCTTCCCAGCCTCCCATGCCTTTGCCCCCTGTGAGGAGAAGACGTGGTGAGAACCCTCCAGGATGCCGGGCACTGCACACACCCTGTCTGGCTCTGAGCCGTCCCTGCCGAAGACAAGGCGAGCAGAGACGACCCGTCTCCACCGGGCACAGCTCAAAGCAACGATTATTCGGGGGTGTTGTGTTACATAGCACTGGGTAACCAGAGTGCACACACGCATGTACGTTCCAGCACACGTATGTGCTAATGCACACACACGTACTGCCTGGACTCACACACGGGAAACTAGACCCACCCCGGCCACAATATCTCAATGCTCAAGGAACATTGAATTGTATCCCCTCATGCAATGGGAACTCAGAGCACAGGGATTTCGAAGCACACGGAAAAGACAGGTAGGAACACAATTCCATGAGACAGACGGTTGTGTTCAATGTTTCCACAAATGCCCTCGAAAAACCTTGTAAAAGACACTCGGAGAGCTGAGGGGCTGACGTGGGGCAGTGGGCAGTGTGGCCTGGGCCGAGCTCACCAGGGAACGCGTCCGACAGAAGACGCAGGCTTTGACATATACATATATATTTTTGTATATATATTTTTTCTATTTATTTGTTGTGAACAAAAAAATATTATTTATTTATTTTTCTATTTATTTGTTGGGATTTTCAAGCCGGGGCGGGGGGCGGAATGCAAATATATTTCGGTGAGAAGGAGCATTCACGAACGGTCAGCGAACATTAAGGCCAACCTATCAGAGCCTTTTATTAGTAATTACTGTTCTTTTTTTGTTTGTTTGTTTGTTTTTGTTTTTGGAGAGGTTTTTGCTATAGGGCGCGTGCGCTCGCCAGACAGACAGAGAGAGACAGAGAGACAGAAAGCGAGAAATCACCCCCCAGGAGGGATGGTCACGCCGCAATCCCTTCTCCTCCATTCTCCTCTCGGGATCTTGGGCACGCATGCACACGCGCCCGGCGTGAGTTTAAGCCACCGGGTCCGGGACGCGAATCATGGTCGACTACGTGGGAGTCCAGCGACATAGCCATTACGCCAACTGCTGGTCCCAGTAATTATTGTGCTTTTAAGAGCCAGAGGCTGTGTGTGGTCAAGAAACAAAGGAGAGACAGAGACAGAGGAAGAAGCACCTTCCTAATACCGCATGTTCATGCCTTGGGCCCTTCTCCTTCCTCCCTCCTGTTGGGATTCGGGGCATGAACCGCCCATAGCTGGGGTGTTTTTCTTTTCCTTTAAAGATGATTTATTTTTATTCATGGTGGCTATGATTTTTCCATTTGATACAGGACACATGTGTTCACCAGAGAGAGACAGAGAAAGTCAGAAAGCAAGCCACCAGGTCTGAGACTTGAACCACGGTCGGCCATGTAGGAGCCCACCCCCTCAACCACCACGCCACCTGCTGGCCCTGACACCTGGCGTGTTTTTCAAGCCACCAGGGCCAGGATTTGAACTGTAGTCGGCCAAGTGGGATTCAGCTGGTTTAACCAGTAGGCCATGAGGCTGACCCTGTAACAACTTTTTATTTTATGTTACTTAAGACTTTTATTTTATTTTATTTGCTATGGGTGTGTGTACTTGACTAAGAGAGACAGGAAAAGTGGGATTCACCCTGCAGGAGGGATGACCTACCACGACCCCTTCTCGATTCTCCTCTCGAGATTTGGGGCATGCACCCACAGGTGACCACTGTGATTTTCAGGCTGTCAGGTCCAGGACTAGACCATGGAGTCAGCCGTGTGTAATTCAGAACTTTAACCAACGTGTCACCCGCTGGTCCTGTAATAACCTTTTTTTCTTTCTTTTTTTGGAGAGGTTTTTGCTATAGGGCGCATGCACTAACCTGAGAGACAGAGAGAGACAGAGAGACAGAAAGCGAGAAATCACCCCCCAAGTGGGATGGCCATGCCGCAATCCCTTCCCCTCCATTCTCCTCTCAGGATCTTGGGCACGCACGCACACACGCCCGGCGTGAGTTTAAGCCACTGGGTCCGGGATTTGAACCGCGGTGAACTACGTGGGAGTCCAGCGACATAGCCATTACGCCAACTGCTGGTTCCCAATAACCTTTTAATACAGTATCAATATAAAGTATTATCCTTTAAATGGAACCTGGAATACTGGTATAAAAGTTTATATAAGCTGATATTATACTCAATGCTGTGCTCCTTTTAGTTAGGATGATATTTTAATAATTTAGTTGTACATATTTAAAAGAATTACTGTATTTAACTTTATTATTATTATTATTATTTTCCAATTTGACCAGAGAGAGAGAGAGAGAGAGAGAGGGAAAGTGAGAAAGCAAGCCACCAGGTCTAGGACTTGAACCATGGGCAGCCATGGAGGAGTCTAGCACCCTTAACCACCACACCACCTGCTGGCCCCATTCTTTCAAATCCTTTAGGAGGGGCAGAACTGTGTCTTTTTCTTTATCTGTCATGCAGGTAAAACGTGACCTACAGCAGCCGATCAATACATTCTCCCTGGAAGGAGCAAACCCCTTTTTGCCTCTGTGTGTCCTGGAACCTCGAGGGCAAGCGTCCCCTGGCTCTCATGGACCTTCCCCCCGACAGCCTGGTGCTCACCTCTGTAAATTCCATTCCACCCGCCCAGCTGGCCGCGCTCATCTCTGGCCTCCAAGTGTCCCCCGTGGTCAGAGGTGAAATACGTGAAGGTCGTGTTCGTCAGCCCGTGTTCTTCCACGGCATCGAGGATCTGGCCTTGACAGAGCATGGGGGACGTCAGGGTCAGGTCGGGAAGGCAGCGTCCACTGCTCACCACTCCTCCCTCTGGGTGCCGGCCACCTCTCGTTACAAAGTCATGCACAGGGACCCGGTCCCTAGAGAGCATGTTATGATGTAATCCCCAAGTGTTAGGATGTGACGAATCGCTGTGGCACCCCGGGGGTCCTGACCAAGTACCAGCCATACAGAACCAGGGCGAAGCCACCCACCCGCCCTGTGGCCAACACACACGCTTTGTCCACGCTGTGTCCGTGTTGTCTCGAGCCCACCTGAAGGGCTTCGTGAGGTGGAGGACAAGGGGAGAAACTTCACTGAGCTCCTGTCTACACAGGGGGCAGCAGGGCTGTGAGCGGCACCTACGGGTGGTGACACATGGGGGTCAGGACCCAGCAGAGCAGCCGGCTCCCCACGAGCCAGGCAGTTGTGTTATCCACGGGGACACCAGGCATGTCGGCCCTCCGAGCAGAGACTTCAGTCCCCATGGGGGGGACACAGGTGGGTGGCAGTTATGGTGCTGGACCCCCACGTGGCCAACCGCAATGTCTGATGGGGACCCGGTGGCTTAAAAATCTCACTGGGCGTGTGAGCGTGCGTGCTCAGAATCCCAGGAGGAGAATGGAGAAGGGACCGTGGTGTGGCCATCTCCCGGGGTGATTTCTCACTTTCTCTCTCTCTGTCTCTCTCCAGTGAGGATGCCCACTGTGTGCAAAAACCCGATTAAAAAAAAAAAAACAGATGAAACAAACCGTAGGCACCTATCCCATGTGGAGGTACCGGTCTCCCCCCCAGGTCTAACACATGGCTCTGATGGTCCTGGGAGATGCCATCGGGTCTGCAAGGATCTCAGAGTCTCTGGCCTCCCCGAGTCCCCACCTCGCGGGTGCTCTGGGTCCCTCACAGGCCAGGGCAGGAAACTCTGCCTCACTGTCAGGACTCACACACGGCCCCACTTCATGCAGCCACTACGAGGCTGTTGGACCGTGACTCTCCTGCAGGAGGATCTAATGCAAAATTGAGCCAGGTCCTCAGAAAGGCTGGGGGCAGAGGAGCAGCAGGACGGAGCATGTTTCTTCTCCTCTTTGTCTTTCTCTTGCTTCTCTGCGACACGCTCAGAGCCATCTGGCCCGTGAGCCCCGGTGAGCCCCTCCGAGGGGAGGGCACGCTCCCTGGTGCGGGAGACTTACCCAGCAGCCAGTCCATCTCCTCCACGTGGTCGCCGTACAGCCCGTGCCGGCTCTTCCCCAGGAAGGCCCTGGAGGTCACCAGGGGGAGGTGCACGTGCAGCAGGGACACGAACAGCAGGAACGACCCTCGCTTGTTCCTGAGAGGGGACAGGCTCCCTGGATGTGGCCATCTCCCGGGGTGATTTCTCACTTTCTCTCTCTCTGTCTCTCTCCAGTGAGGATGCCCACTGTGTGCAAAAACCCGATTAAAAAAAAAAAAACAGATGAAACAAACCGTAGGCACCTATCCCATGTGGAGGTACCGGTCTCCCCCCCAGGTCTAACACATGGCTCTGATGGTCCCGGGAGATGCCATTGGGTCTGCAAGGATCTCAGAGTCTCTGGCCTCCCCGAGTCCCCACCTCGCGGGTGCTCTGGGTCCCTCACAGGCCAGGGCAGGAAACCCTGCCTCACTGTCAGAACTCACACACGGCCCCACCTCCTGCAGCGGCTACGAGGCTGTCGGACCGTGACTCTCCTGCAGGAGGATCTAATGCAAAATTGAGCCAGGTCCTCAGAAAGGCTGGGGGCAGAGGAGCAGCAGGACGGAGCATGTTTCTTCTCCTCTTTGTCTTTCTCTTGCTTCTCTGCGACACGCTCAGAGCCATCTGGCCCGTGAGCCCCGGTGAGCCCCTCCGAGGGGAGGGCACGCTCCCTGGTGCGGGAGACTTACCCAGCAGCCAGTCCATCTCCTCCACGTGGTCGCCGTACAGCCCGTGCCGGCTCTTCCCCAGGAAGGCCCTGGAGGTCACCAGGGGGAGGTGCACGTGCAGCAGGGACACGAACAGCAGGAACGACCCTCGCTTGTTCCTGAGAGGGGACAGGCTCCCTGGGAATGTGCAGGGACAGGCGCTCTCCCCGGCCACGGCGGGACCCAGGTGTGCAACCCCACCCACAGGGAAAGGCTGGTCCTCCTTCCTCCCCACCCTCTCTTCCCGGGCCACCCCAGGGCTCCCCCAGCTCACAGAGACCGGGCACCCCGAGGAGCCCTCCCCCCTGCAGCAGGACAGTCCCGTCACCTCTCAATGAAGGACACCGTCTCCTGGAGCACGCGCCCGGCTGCTCGGGTCACATCCATGGGCTGCTCGGTCACGGCGTGGTTCCTCATGAGGATGCAGTTCCAGCGGCGCACGAACCCGAGGCTGGAGTACCAGGCCAGGAAGAACAGGAGCAGCAGGCTGGCCGCGGCCACCACCACCCTCCAGGGCACAGACAGCAAGCCGCCCAGCTTGGCCGCGGCCAGGGTCAGGACCCCCAAGGCCAGCATCTGCGTGTACTGCTGGAGCTTCGCCCTCGTGGCAGCATCTACTTCGGGGGGTCTGCCCGGTTCGCAGTCATTGACGAGTGTGAAAGGCATGCCGTAGAAGTAGCCGAAGCCGTGGTGCAGGGGGTGGTGGCAGTGGTCATCACGAGAGGCACAGCTGACCCCCTGGTGCCACTTTCCTGCAACAAGAGCAAAAAGCCAAACGTTGTCGGGACTTATTGCTAGGGCGAACAGGCGGCGTGGTGGTTCAGGCAGTGGACTCCCACATAGCCAACCACGGTTCGAGCCCTGGACCTGGCAGCTTGCTTTCTTGCTTTCCCTCTTTCTCTCTCTGTTTTTAAACTTTATTTATTTATTTTAATCTTACCAGAGAGGGACAGAGCGAGAATGAGAGCGAGGGAGAGAGAAAGAGAGAAAGTGAGAAAGCAAGCCACCAGGTTCAGGACTGGAACCATGGTCGGCCATGTGGGAGTCCAGTGCCCTTAACCACCATGACACCTGCTGGTCCCCCACTTTCCCTCTTTCTCTACTGAGCATTTGTATATTCAAAAGAACTATATGGTGGGACCCGCAGTTGGAGTAATGGCTACATCATTGGACTTCCCAGCAATCACCACGGTTTGAGACCCAGACCCGGTGGCTTAAACTCACACTGGGTGCGTGTGCGTGCGTGCCCAAGATCCCGAGAGGAGAATGGAGGAGAAGGGATTGCGGTGTGGCCATATCCCCGGGGGATGATTTCTCGCTTTCTGTCTCTCTCTGTCTCTCTGACAAGTACTACACACCCTTTAGCAAAGATCTCTGTAAAAATAGATAATAATAATAATAAATACAATGCATGAATAATTATTTAAAGACAAAAACAAAAAACTAAAAAAACAAAAACCTGATTCCTAGAAGAATGAAGTGCACGGCCGATGAACCTACTGGGAGAGGATTCTTGGCCGCGTGTGCCTGGTCACCTGCGTGCCTCAGCCCTGAGCCTTCTCCCAGCTCTGATTTCACTGTTACAAATTGCCGGGTCGTACGACTTAGGTCCAGCCATTTGGGCAATCCTCCTACCAATTGCTGAGCCCCAGTGTGGTCTTTTGGACCTCTGAGAGGCTCGCTCTTGAGCTTGAAAAATAAAGACCTGACATGGGGGGACCAGTGGGTGACGTGGCGGTTAAGGCACTGGATTCCCATATGGTAGACCACAGTTTGAGCCCCGAACCCAGGAGCTTAGAAAATCCCAAGGGGCCAGTAGATGGCGTAGAGGTTAACGAGCTAGACTCCCAGATGGCCAGTTGTGGCTTGAGTCCTGGGCCCCGCAAATTAAAATTCATACTGGTCGCGTGTGCGTGCATGCCCCAAATCCAGAGAGGAGAATGGAAGGGACGCGGTTGCAGCATGGCCATTCCCCCAAGGGTAATTTCTCACTTCCTCTCTCTCTCTCTGTGTCTCTCTTGTCTCTCTGGCAAGTACACACACTCTAGATCAAAAATCTCTTTAAAAAAATCCCAACAAATAAATAGATAAATAAGTGGGTTTTTTTGTTTGTTTGTTTGTTTGTTTTTTTAATGAGTATGAATCCCATGGGTTTTCCCATGGTGAGTGGTTATCTGGGAACAAAACCTTGGAGCAGTTTTCTGATCACCTGGGACAGAGATGTTTGATGGGTCCAGAGAAGAAAAGAAAACGACCTCGTAAATTTGTGAATAAGAGAAAATCTCATCAGTGAGGAGATCTCCCAAATGGTGAACAATTCAAGAGGAGACAGACAGGCCAGAGACTGCCTTTCGATTCAGAGAGAGACACAGGTCTTTGTCCCTTCAAGGAAAAAAGGTCTTTGTGGGGCCAATAGGATGGCATGACAGTCACATCGCTGGACTCCCACATGGCTGACCACGGTTCCAGTCCCGGACCCGGCAGCTTGAAAATCACACCGGGGCACGTGTGTGTGCGTGCCCAAGATCCCGGGAGGAGAATGGAGGAGAAGGGATTGTGGCATGGCCATCCCCTCTGAGGGAGGATTTCTCACTTTCCCTCTCTCTGTCTCTCTGTCTAGTGAGTGCACATGTTCTAAAGCAAAAACCTCTTAAAAAAACAAAAACAAAACCAGGTTCTTTTTGGCCCCCAGTGTTCCCCACCACGGGACGCCCAAGTGCCAAGCATCACCTCACCTATGAGACCTGTGGCATAACCTTGCTGCTGCAGGATTCTCGCGAAAGTGGTTTCGTTCTCCGGGAGCCCGCCCGAGCCTGCGTTCCACTGCAGGGCCCGGTAGCCATCGCTGGCCTCCATGCCTGTGAGCAGAGAAGACGAGAAGGACTCGCTCTCCTCTCCGGTAGAGCAGCTGCTCTCAACCAGAGCGAAGGACTCGCTCTCCTCTCCGGTAGAGCAGCTCTCAACCAGAGCAATTCTGCACCCCGGGGACAACGCCTGAAACCGTGTCGGTTGTTCCAGAAGAGGGAGACGTGGCACTTAGCCTTGTGTAGTGGACGCAGCCGGCTGCTATGGAGCACTGGACACGACCACCCACATGTCTGCTTGAAACTCACACCGGGGCCTGAGAGCCCAAGATCCCGACAGGAGGATGGAGGAGAAGGGGTTGCCGCATGGCCATCCCCCCGGGCGGTGATTTCTCACTTTCTGTCTCTCTCTCTCTGTGCTGAGTACACATACCCTATAGCAAAAATCTCTCTTGAAATCAAACTTTATCTATGTATCTATCTATCTATCCACTACAGATTAGTATCAACTATCTGTCATCTACTATCGATCGAGGATTTATAATTGTCATCTAGCTACATGTCATTGTTGATCTATCATCTCATTATCACTTATTGATGTATCATTATCACTCATTTATTTCTCATAATTATCACCCATCTATTATAGATCATACACACGTATGTCTGTGTATGTATAACACATTCACACATACGTATGTATTTCACATACGCATGTATCTTTGTCCCTGTCGATTATCTGTCCTGGGTACCGATTCTCAAGCAGCGTGACCCAGGCGTCCCTTCCCCACAAATACTATCTGACAATGCCTACAGATATTTTGGGCGATCACAACCGTGGAGGGAGGGTTGAAGCCCTGGTGGTCGAATCCCTCATGCCCAGAACCTTAGAATCTGAGTGCGTTTGGAGAAGGGTCTTTAAAATGCTGATTAAGGTAAAAAAAAAAAAGTCTGATCCCGTAGCACTGGGCTCCTTCTAAGGAGAGGAGATGAGGACACAGACACTCACAGAGGGACGACCACGTGGGGACAGAGAGAGACGATGGCGTCTCTACACCAAGGGGAGAGGACTCAGGAGGCGCCATGTTGACCTGGGACTTCCAGTCTCCAGAACTGTGAGAAATACATGTCTGTCGTCTAGGACACCAGGCTGCGGGACGTCGTAGGGCTACCCCGGCAGACGAGGTCAACCGCATTTCAGGGGGCGCTGGTAACACAGCCTGCTAATCCATTCTCCTGTGGATGAACCTTTTCCATATTTGACTATCATAAACCGTGCTGTTAGAATGTTCTTGCTGAAGTCTTTGGGAGACCATACATGTGTGTACATACAGAACGCACACCTGGGGACAGATGGGTGATGGGGTACGTATGTGTTTGCTATAAGCACACAATCAAATGTGCAGAGTGTTTGCACCTATGCACCCGTCCAGCCATGGCGTCTGAGAATTCCAACTCTTCTACATTCTTGCCAACGTCTGCTATGGTCTGTCTTTCTCAGTCCTGCCACCCTCCTGAGTGCATGTTGCTGTATCTCTGGGGGTTTTAGATCACAGAGAACAGTCTCTCACTCTGAGGGTGCGTACTGGACACACTGAGGCTCGTGGTTCAGGGCTGGCTGAGGCAGGCAACACGTCGCAGCATCAAGACCCTGCTGGGAGTGCCATCTCTCTGTCTTCTCTGTCTCTCATGCACTCATGGAAGTTGCAAAGGAATACACTTTAGGGGGGACCAGCAGTTAGCGTAATGGCTATGTCGCTGGACTCCCACGTAGTTCGACTGTGGTTCGCGTCCTGGACCCGGTGGCTTAAACTCACGCCAGGAGCATGTGCATGCGTGCCCAAGATCCCGAGAGGAGAATGGAGGAGAAGGGATTGCAGCGTGACCATCCCCCCTGGAGGGTGATTTCTCACTTTCTGTCTGTCTGTCTGTCTGGCGAGAGCACGCGCCCTATAGCAAAAACCTCTCCAAAAAAAAAAACAAAAAGGAATACACTTTAGGAAAAAAGGAAATGAAGTAAGTGAGTCAAGTATTTAAACAGAAACACAGAGGGTCAGTCTCAACCAGTTGCCACTGAAGAATTTCAGTCTCCGAATTCCCAGTGATGGCAAATGTTGTGCATAGGTATAGAATACAATATTCTCTGCAGAAACACAAAAGAGGTGACGCAATTGCAACAGCAACTTTCATTCATTTTTCCCTGGATCTCAACGGCCACTACCCAATTATTACAGGCAATGAAGCGAGAGTGTGTACATACGTGTTTTCACTGGCCAGCCACCAACACCCACCTGATC